CCTGTGCGCGCGTAATGGCGCACACAGGACACACATTCGGGACAGATACCACAGGAGAGACAGAGGGGGGACAGCAAGCAGACACAACAGACAGTGGATCATTAATGACTTCGGGCAGAGGGAACACATTTCCTCCAGCCAAATCATTGCCTAAAATAAATGAAATGCCACTGATCGGAAACCGTGGGAGCACGGCAACTTTCACATGTCCCGACACGAGCGGTGAATGCAAATGGACCATGTGAAGTGAGGCGTTGAGTTCACTCATATTAATTCCCCACACAAGCAGATCAGAAAAGCACGAAGTTTCATCGGAGAGTGGCAGTACACTAGCCAGCATGAACGAATGAAAAGCGGCTGTATCTCGGAGGATAGTCACCGGCACTTTACCTGATTCCTCACCGGTTATAGAAACAAACCCGTGAGAAATGAACGGCTTGAACCAAGGGTCAACCTCCACGTTTACCTCTAGTTCAGGTAAAGTGTCTTTTACAGGTGGGGACGCGGAGTTTATAAAACCCACACCTGCGGGAGGTTTACCATTTTTGTTTTGTCCTTTTTTCCTAAGCGTCGGACAGGCCGCGATCAGATGGCCTGGCTCATGGCAGTAAAAACACTCGCGGCTCTCACCCGCAGCTGGTGACGTGCTTTTACGCATCAGCTTTGGTGATCGGTTTCTGCGCTCAGATGTTGCATGTGAAACGCGAGGTGCCGGCATGGAAAAAACACTTTTGTGCGTCAAAATGAATTCGTCAGCCAGCACGGCTGCTTTTGTCACAGACGATTCTTTTTGTTCATTCAAATAAACAATAATTCGTTCCGGCAAACATTTTTTAAACTCCTCGAGAAGAATGAGCTCTCTCATCTCCGCCATGGTTTTAACATTACAGGCTTGGCACCATCTATCAAACAAAACACTCTTGTCACGCACAAACTCAACGCAAGTCTGGTTGGCAGTTTTTTCACTGTTTTTAAATTTTTGACGGTATGCTTCGGGGACCAGCTCATAAGCCTGCAACACAGTCTTTTTCAAGATTTTGTAGTCAAGACTATCTTCAATAGACAGACTGGCACAGACCTCCTGGGCTTTCCCCACTAACTGACACTGGAGGAGAAGGGACCAGAACTCTTTGGGCCAACTCAGGGCAGCAGCTATCTGCTCGAAAGCGCTGAAATACGAATCCACTTCGGACTCACGAAACGGAGGAACTAAAGCAATGTGCTTAGTGATATTAAAAACAGGAGCAGAAACAGAGCTGTGGCCAGAAAGAGGCACCAGGGTGGAGGCTACAGGGGCTCCTTTTTCCAGCTCGAGAGCCCGGATGCGCAGATGCATGGCTTGTACCTCCAGCTGTTTATTTCAGGTCTCTGCCTCCTTTATTTGGAGTGCTAGGCGGAGATCCTCTGTGGTCATGTTACCTACAAGAGGATCCGTGATCGGCCCAAGCTCCACACCAGCAGCGAGCGTGCCAGCAACCTCCGCCACTTTCACCTCAGCCACCGGTGCGTCACTGGCCGCGTCACCCGCAGCAGCATCAGCCGCATCAACAGCTGGTTTGGGTAAGACGCCCTGCTCCACCAACTCTGCACACAGCAACCGCTTAAGCTCCTCCTTCCTAGCACCATAAGACACATGCACATTATAACAACTTGCTACCATCAACAGGTGTGCTTTTCTGCATTTATCAGTTTTCGCCAAAGATGGACTGGTCACAAAATCATCCAATGAAAACTCCATAATTCCCCCCACACACCAAAATAAAACTGCCAACCAGAAAAACTACTCACCGAAACTCACCCGTACACAAAGCGCGACAAGCTCCCAGACGAGCCCCCAATTCATGTTAAGCCCCAGTCTAGGGGGGCCTAGGACACAACATGGATTGGCCCCATCTTCCCCAAGTCCCAAGTAGCCACAACAAAGATTAGTTTGAATGTGAAGAAAATGATTTATTTACATAAAAGTTTCGTATGAACATATAGAGAATAAATATTGAGTTTAGGCTTCAGGGTGGACTAAGGCCAACATAATAAACATAATCACCCTGTCTGGAAAATAAACAACTAATCTAACCAAAGGAAAACAAATAACAACCAACTCACCTCCCTAACTAAATAAACAGGAAAAAAAACAGAGAAAGAAAACTGGCAGCCCACCCTTACTACTCAAATGAAACAACGAACTACACAACACTGAATCGCTGCAACGGTGTGGCCAGTTGGGAGAAGAGGAGAACGAGAGTGAGCCGGCGGCCATCTTGGCTCCTTATATACCAGGTGATCGGGGATGCAACCAATCACCGACCAGGACGCAGAGCCTTTCTACCAATGACGGCACGGCTGCGGCACACACCTATTTGCATACAATGAAAAAACAAACACAGGGCACACACACACATACACAACAGACCACCTACAATAATATGACCGCGGTCATAATAAACACTGTGGATGCTCCTCACAGGTACAGATGCTAGAACTTCATGCCAATAATGTGAGAGCAATAATTAAACTGTCACAACTGTCAGGGTTTGTCGGGGTAAGGCTGGACCCAAATGCAGCCAACACATGGGAGACGATGCAGAAAGGTTTATTTAACAAAAATCTTACACACAACACTGGTGAAACACAGGGGAAAAACAGGTAAACACATGAACTCAAAACAGGAGACAAGAACAGGCAACATGAACAGACCCAGGACAAAGCAGACGTGAACAGACTGAGGACAACCACACATGAACAGCTCTGCGACCAACCAGACATGAACAGGCACGTGAACCGACGAGGACAAACCCAGAAATCAACAGAGAGACAACAGTTACAAACCGACCCAGACAAAGGGGAGCACAAAGACTATATAGACAAGGGAGGCAAGGGTGATTGAACACAGGTGAAACACATTAGGGCGGGGCAAACAATCACCACACAGACACAGGACCAAGACAGGAAGCAAAAACACTGACACACAAGGAAACCAATTACAAAATAAAACAGGAAGTGACAATATCCAAACAAAACTAACAAAAGGTGTCTGCCATATCAAACCATGACACAAACAATCTGATGGAGAAACGGAGTAAATTCAGGATATTGTCAGTTTGAGGCAACAAATTGCAAATCTGTTCACATATAATTTAGCAACAACTTTACAGTCAGTTCTGTTCTTCTTTGCTTAATGACCCTTGTGCTCTGTGGGACTTTGTCTCTGCAGCCAATGACAGCAGCAGACAGAAGGTATGAAAGTGCTAAGTCAGTGGTTCAGCAGGGACAGGTGGTTGAAGGAGAGTCAGCGGCTGATCTCGTCAACCTGCAGAAGGGACAAACTCCACACACCAACAAGTAAAAGCGGCTGAGACCTGTCCTACTGTTCACCAGCAGCACTGTTCAATGATTTCACTCCACTGTCTGAATTTGTTGATTAACCCTTGTGTGTTTAAGTGTGTTAAAGTTCTGTCTTTCAAGAAAGATCAGGCTCCTCTGCTCTTTGTGAGCCTTGTATGTGAAAATGTTTCATGGTGTTGATGTATTAATTTTCTTTTGGCAGATGTTTGCTGTTGAAAAGTCAGAAGAAATACTGAGTGTTTGGTAGGCATGGCTTCTCAACATGTCTGTTGTCAAGTGAAGTCAACTTTATTTATACAGCTGGAAATCACACATTTTCCACAGCGGCCTTTACAGCCTGCACACCCTTTATCCTTCTTTATCTGTAGAACCCCCCAGTTCAAATGAGGGGAAACTCTTCTTTAATGCCTGTTAGAGGGAGGTGGAAGAGGAACAGGGGAAGGTGTTTGGTTAACTGTTAAAGACTGTGGTCCCCAAAAAACAGGCAGCATCACCAGAAGACACTGATGAGCCTGAAGTGACAAGATAATCATTCATTTATATAATTATATAAAATATATAATTATGTTATAATTATATAAAATATAATTATATAATTACATCAGGAGTTTGGTCTTGTGTTATCACAGTAGATTCTGTTGAACATGTAGAGAATGTGTTCTCATTTTGCTGATATTCTTCCTACTAATGCTGATGTGTTATGACTGATGTATGATGAACTATAGTGCCAGGTAGTTTGATCAGTAGTGATCTACTTGTCGCAGCTGACCTTTGAACCCTACAACAACTTGCAAATACTGCAGAAAATCTTAATTCATGACAAATGTGAGTGAAAGTTTGAGTAACATCAGGTGGGGGTTGAATCTAAAACAGGTCTGTTACAGAGATTTGTTTTTGTAGCTGTCTACTACTGTTTCATGATCCAAACAACACAGTCTGAAAATCTCTTTTTCTTGACATGTTCTAGAAATGACTGAGGAGATCTTACAACAAAATGAGATAATTCATTGCACTTATTGACCAAGAAAAAGAAGAAAATCAGTTTATCTGTGCTAAAAATGGAACAAATACTCAGTGTGATTAATGAACAAATGAAAAATTAACAATTAAATGACCAATCAGCTACATGTCTGTCGTTGTGCCAAAGTAACCTACAGATAAAAAAAGGAGATTATGTGTGAAAAATCATCACATTTATGTAATCATTATCTGATTTCAACATTTTGTTTTCCCACTGGACTGTCACACATGAACCAGTTGAGCTCATATTGTTCATCTAACTTCGTATTTTTGTAATCTCTTCACTCAGAATTGTCACTGTGTTTTTCCATATTGTAAAAAACTAAGTCTAATTTGTAAAGACACATCAACGGCATGTTTTCATCTGAACTGACACAGAAAAAAGACTCACACAGATTATGAGGCAAAAAACAAAAAAAATGATTGACATATTTAATTAAATCTTACTTAATAAATTAAATTTAACTGTATTCTGGCATGAGCATATACCTGTGGTAGCAGGCTGTGGTGTGAATGTGGTGGTGAGGACAGATCACCACTTCCAAAGTTATTTTGTGTCAAACTTCTTCTTTGTTTTCTCTGTTCTCAGGCTGATTGAACTGAAACCCTGGACGAGGAGGTTGTAGGAGAAGAGGAGGATGGACAACGTCTCCTCACACAAACATTTCATCCTCGATGGCTTCAGTGAACTGGGAGCTCTGAGGCCCGTCCTCTTCATCCCATTCTGCATCATGTTCATCGTGTCGCTGTCAGCCAACTCCCTGCTGCTGTACATCATCATCTCACAGAGAAGCCTCCACTCCCCGATGTACATCCTCATCGCTGGCATGGCGTGCGTGGACCTGAGCCTCCCAATACTCTTTGTCCCCAACATGCTGCTGAGCTTCCTGTTTGACTGGAGGGGAATCTCTCTGATTGGCTGCCTGGTTCAGATGCACTGCATTCACTTTATTGGAACTTTTCAGTCCACGTTACTGGTGTGGATGGCATTGGACCGCTACTTCGCCATCTGCACGCCACTCTACTACCATGAACGCATGGCGCTACAGAGGTTTCTCAGGTTTATGATCCCACCTGTGATCAGAAACATCCTCATAATCACAACGTTTGTGAGTCTTGCAGGGCCCTTGTCCTTCTGTGCTTCTAATGTGATAAATCACTGTTTCTGTGAGCACATGGCCTTGGTGGAGCTGGCCTGTGGAAGCACCACCATTAACAACCTGGTGGGGTTACTGGCTGTGTTCCTCATCCCTGTGGCCGACTTCATCTTCATCACTGCCTCTTATGTGGTGATATTCAGGTCTGTGCTGAAGTCCGGCAGATCAGGTTTCAAAGCTCTTGATACTTGCATCACCCACATTGTGGTCATCAGCATCAGCCTGACTGTGGCGCTTATTGCTTTCCTTTCCTACCGGATCAGAGTTGGTCTTCCTGCCGCTATTCAGGTTTTCTTCAGCACCATGTACCTGCTGTTCCCAAGCTGCTTCAACCCAATCATCTACGGCGTCAGAACCACAGAGATAAGAAAGCACATCCTGAAGACGCTGACATGCTGTCACTTTATACACACTGTGTCCCACTCTTAAAGGTTCTGTAAGACAGATTTTAAACAATACTACACCAGCAAACTACTATTTTCTATGTAAAGATATAGTGGCAGTGATGTTGCTAGGTACGCGTCCTGCGTCCCTGACGCATTAAAATCTGAAAGGACGCAGTAAACTCACTATCCATGTGTCCCAGAGACGCAACTCATTTTTCCCATGAAAAACGATACATTTTGAACAACTCGTGTTTAAAATCACAGTAACTAGCAAAAGTAACTTTGCTGTCAGCAGACCAGGCAAGCGCTGTTTCAACCCTCTGCGCATCTACTCCGCGCAGACGTGATCCTGTGTACAGTATCGCGACATGCTAGTTTAGCCACTACCACAACAATTAGCCAGTCACCGCGGATTTCATTTCAACAATTAAAGATACAAACTTCATAGTAGTAAATAAACTCATGTTTCCACTGCTCAATGCTGTGTTCACTCATGTCGACAATGTTTTAACGTCTAGGGGACGTGCTGTAATGAAATAAATAAAACATACTCCGGTGGCGGTGATGAAAAATACTTTAACAGACTTTCCACTGTGTTAGTTAAGTTTCATTTGTGTGCTAAAAGTTTCACAGTGATTGACTCAGTTCATTTGATTTAGTTGATGTTCAGACAAGAAGATTTTGGTCTTAATTTGGTGACAATTTATTTGTTGACTCTGTCATGGTGATGAGAATGTTTTGTTTATGTGTTAAAATCAGCACTTTTATTGATCATTTATTTTGGTACTACAGACACATTTTGTTTTCATTTGAATTTTAGTAATTTATTTTGGTGCTATTTATGTTGCTACAAAAATGCTATTTTATTTGAATTTTGTATGTCATGCCGCTGTGACAGTTGTTTTGCAATAAACTTTTCAGATTTGGAATCTTATTTGTTTAATTTCAGATACATTTTGAACATACATGAATATATCCGTTAATTATAACCATATCATACCACCATCAAAGGAGTTTAACACTACAATTTAAGAAATAGAAGAATATAAGAAATAATTTTTTTTTATTTGGGACCCATTGAATTTCCCAGGGACCCACTCAAATCACCACCTGTGGGTCCTGGGGACTCACTACATTGAAAACCTATCAACATCACTGTAGTGGCGTAAAGGCATTTTGAGCAGAGAATGAAGCCACACCCCTCTGTGTGTGTTGTAATATGAGTTTCTCTGGTCTTTGTTTTGGTTCCAACAGCACATGTATGTTAGTGCATGTGAGTCCCTCCTGTTAAAGTTTTTGTAAGGGAAATTTTAAACAATACTACAGCAGCAAACAACTATTTTCTGTGTAAAGATCATAGAATGTAAAAATGCTCCACTGTTGCCATCTTAGTAGTGCCTGACTCCGCCCTAACTCCAAGCTAATCCCAAACTAATCCAAAAATGAACAAAGAGGAGGGGAACGGAGACGACCACAGACACTCGGTGCATACCGGTTTTTGGCAAGCATATGCTCACCCACCCACTCAAAGAGGCCACGCCCTCAATTCTACATAACTTTAATCCTTAATAAAATGTAAACAGAGGAGTCATATAAACAGTTGTCATGAAGGAGGAAATTAGCTCTAGAGACCAAAACTGTTTTTGCACCAGGCTGTAAACATGTTTATTTCTGTAAAGTCGGACATTTTAACATGGGAGTCTATGGGGATGACTTACTGTTTGAGCCAGACTCTCATGGTCGTTAGAGGAACTGCAGTTTTCAGTACTTCTGTTTTGGCTTCAGTCTCAGAGGTTGCCGCTTGGTAAAGATATAGTGGAGTAATGGCTTTGGAGCAGTGGACTATCAAAATATCCATAACATTTTTTAAGTTTTTACTGGCTCCATCAGTGTCATTCATGCAGCCAGTCCCAGTGGATCAGTGCAAGGCTGAATTTCTTTCCCAGACCGATTGTGGAGACAGTACTGGTCCGGTTTACTGGTCCGGTTTATGTACTGATGGTACATAATGTTACATGTCTGTTTTCATAAGTGACGGCTACAGTAGCATGATAACGTTAGCTAACCTCCTGTCACCCATTATATGTTCGGCAAATGTTGCTCTCACTAGCTCCCTAGCTGTAAGCATTGCTGTGGCATATTACAACAACGCTAGCGTGGGCTAATGGTTGTGGTGAGGTAACTTTATTTAGTTGAGCTCTTGTTGAGTATTTAGTGAAACTTTCACTGGGCTTCATCAGGGAGAAGGGTTGTGGCCAACAAAGTATTTGTTTTGGTCTGAGATGCAGGTGGTTTAGAGCAACATCTAGTTTCAGTGATGGACATTTACAGAACCTTTAAGAAGCAAACAAATGAAATATCAGGTAAAATATCTTGATTATAAAGATCCAGTTTCCATGAGGAAAACAAAAAATTTATCAGAAGTGACCAAAAACAAAAAAGAAAATGATCCAGATTAAAAATGCTCAATTTTGAGATCGGTGCTGGATACTCTCCTTTTCAGGAGGGTGAGAGGGGTCAGGCAGGAGAGGGAACACCTAAGGCCAATCGTCAAATCTGCATCTCCTAGACTCTCAGTAGAAGAAATAAGCGTGTGTGTAAAGTGTTTGAATTATAAAAACAGTTTTACAGCCCTTGTTTCTGATTGTGTGTTTCTGTGCGATGCTGCTGCTCTGTTGGATTTTCAGTTCGTCACACTGACAACATGTTGACGTGCTGCAGCCAATCAGAGAAACTGAGTACATGTAGGGAATTAATTGTCAGCTTTAGGGAAGAAATTACAAATCTGCACAAATTAACAACAACTTTACTGATCAGTCATTCAGGTCCACATTTGTCTCTTTCCCGACTGATCAGAAACTTTTAATTTGTTTTACTAAGTTTCTTCTTTGGTTCATGACCCTGGTGCTCTGTGGGATTTCCAGTCTGATTTTGTCTCCACAGCCAATGACAGCAGCAGACAGAGGGTTTTAAAGTGCCATGTCAGTGGTTCAGCAGGGACAGGTGGGTTGAGGAGAGTTGGCGGCTGATCTCGTGACTATGCAGGCTGGACCTGTTCAGGTATGAACACCAACAACAAGTCAGGCCTGCTGATTCTCTTCTACAGAGATCTCATGTCTGAGTCCTGAAATCTCCTTATCTTTGTTGTGGCGAGAAGTGGTGGATCAAAAAGGAATCAAACAGTCAAGACACAGGTATCAAGGCGGGGAGTCTCTCTTTATTCAATGCGGCCCACTTGCAGACATAGACGGAGACAACAACCACAACACAGATCGTGACATATCCTTTTTATACCTCAAGTAGCTATGTGTGTGTATGTGCATCCTGTTTTTCCCAATCCTTTTGGCTACGTGGTATAACTCTTGCCTCTGTTGACCAACTCTTGCACTTTTGTTTTTTCCTGGCTTGCACTCAGGTCATGGTGTTCTTTTCTTGGCAGAACACCATGACGCCCTCCCAGGTCATCGTTCTCTTATTGGCAGTGTGCCTTGGCATTATATCTATTCCTATTTACCCAATCTCTTATTACCAGATGTTTCTCACCAATCCTAAGTATCTTAGCCTGCTCGGTTGACTTCCTGACCATTTCTTTTGTTATTGTTCCCACACTGGCTCTTAAACTCCTATTGGCGTCCAACCGGTTGATATCAGATCATACGTCTCTAGCCTTATGATTCTCCTACATATCCCCCCTGAAATCACTATTGTGATTTAAACTATGTGTAATGTATGAGTGATGTATAACATGACATTGCAAAACATAACAACAGTGAAATAGTGTGATATTCTGGATATGACTATGATTGTAACACTACTATGATAATATCTTTCATTTTAATGCATTGATTACATGGAGTACATAAAGCAGTTTGCATGTTCAAAGATGTATGGGGGCGAAAAACCTACATTAGGAAAACAAACAGTATGATGGTGGAGGCAGGTTTTTTCACTTTGATATGATCTAGAGTCGTCATACATCTTGATTCCAGTGCCGTGATCTGCTCGTATCTGTCATTTTTCTTCTGACTTTGAATTATTTAAAAAAAAACTAATCTTGGTTGAATATAAATTAATTTCACATTTTCAGTTGTTTGTTCAAGGTGAAACCAAGCAATCTGAGAAGAGATGAGCTTTCTCTGCTCTGTGTGCTGAGGTTTAGTATATTTATATATATGTGTATATATATATATATATATATACACATATATATGACATTTACTCTTCGAGTTTAAAAACCAGGCTAAACTAGGTTTACAGTTAAAGGTTTTTAGATGTCAGTAACAATTTAATGTCCAAATGTCAGGGACAGATTTAAAAAGAATAAATATACAGATGTTAAAAACTGCTTTCAAGAACAAACTGGACTGACACGTTTAAGTGTTGTCGGCTGCTGGACCAGAAATAATAACACTATATGGAGAAACTCTGTGGTACAGTGTGATGTAAATAAAATAAAGTGCATAACAGTATGTAATAGTGTAATAAGTTTAAATGACGAGAGGATTTTTTAATATGATTATAAACTCATGACAGAGATATTTAAACCATTAATATTTTTGACTGCAGATCAAAGGACACACATACTGATCACAGACAATACCGTCATGTGTTCCTGTTGTGTTCAGTAGGTGTCCAGCATCCATCATCATTGATGAATTCATCTGTGAGCAGCATTTTAATGTTGAGCTACTTTATCTACTGTTGGGTACAAACATACAAACATATATTTTATAAGATAATTATAGATTTTTTATGTAAGATCTCAAACTTCCAAGTGACTACTGACCTATAATTATAGTGGTATACAAGCAGGCAGTCACATCAAATTTAAATACTTAAGTAAAGTTCAAGTACTGCAACACTGAACATTACTGGAGTAAATTTACTTAGATTAGTTCCTTCTCTGAAAAACGCACAGCACAAATGTTCACAGATGTTCTTTGAATGTCAGATGTCAAAGAGGTATCAATGCTAGTCTTAGCAGCCGTCACTGAGTCCTGTGAGGAGAGATAGAGTGTGTGTCTGTGTCTCCAGCTGTGTGTG